CGTTTTTCCTACAAACTGATAAACAGTTGCCAAAGTCTTATTTTATGCAGGGGGATAAGGGATTTACTTCTTTTTTTTTTTTTTTAAACAAATATGAAATTAAAAGAAACTCATAAAGGAGGCGACACTGAATCCCCCACCTTGTATCTCAACTGTACACTGTGACTGTAAAGACGTGAGTCAAACTGTCTGACTGTTTGTTGTCTAAAGACAGGCCACTCCGCAGCCAAAAAACGTTGCCTTTAAAAATCCAACAGCGGTGACCTCTGACCCCAGGCTCTAGTCCTCATGGCCCGGACTGGAACAACGAGAGCTGAGAACACTCCATTTGCACATTGAGTTTGGGCAAAGTCAGCAGGTTTTTGACTGTAGAAAATATCCCTCTGCTGTGTGCGACAGAGGGAGGGCTGCCGTGATATCAAACACCACCGATCCAGGACGAAGACGAGGAGAGAGAAGAGAGACACGTTTTTCTCTCTCCAACTCTTATACAGCTGATGTCTTAAACGATCCCCTTATAGGCGTGCGCTGCTGTCTTGACACTGTGCTCTTCTCCAAAAGCCCTCATGACCAACTCTTCTTCATTGGTATTAAAACTCAGCACTAGAAGCGCAACCTCCCACCAGAGCTGGGTCAGCTCCCCATGGTGGCTGCTCGAAATACCTATAAACCCATGAAAAAGAGGAACTTTTTAACCCAACTTCTTATGTATCTCTCTCTCTTTTTCTTTTTTTCCTGCTTGAAAACACTTTGTTTCACTTTGGAAAGACTGAAATAATCCATACATCATGCTCAGATGTGCCTTTTATTTGGTTTTCTACTTTACAGAAATAAGCAAATGGTGTCTAAAATGCTAAAAAATAAAGTTGCCTATGTAATGTTTAGAACAAAGCTATACACTATGAAATTGTACATGTTTGTGGATATTGTGTATATATATAACATGTATACACTAACTAAATAATTTGTATAAAGTGACAAGTTTTTTTCCCTGTTGTATTGTACCCTCATCCGCATCTGTTCAGTTGAATATTGCCTAATAATCCAATGCTGCTACAGTCGGATAAAAAAAAATACAAAAAAAAACAAAACAAGAAAAAAACAGGTCACTGTCACTAACTTACTTACAGACAATCTCCAGTTGAAACACTGGGAGTATTAACTGAGGAAAGCCATTTCCATTTTTTCTTCCCTGCCCCTTAGCTGTTTTAAAGCAATGAAAAAATACACAGTTCAATATGCCAAGCACTTACTTAGACGTGTGCTTCACTTTGTACATCCTACTAATTGCCTTTTTCTCCTTTTCAAAGGTTTTTTAATGCTAACACTCATTAAACAGAGGTTGGAATTATAGTTGCATTTGAATATGGACAGTCCTATATTCAGTTGTAAGTATTTGAGCATAGTGAAGAATTAGACTTGTTTTTTTTTTCTGAGAAACACACTTTGTGCACTTTAGGCTGTACTGTTTAAGAGCCACAGTTGTTATAGGTCATGTTTGTAAATGCAATGGTCCTATGCAACTGTTAAACTCACTTTCTACGTGGATCAGGGCAGTAAAACGCGAGTCTACCACCTCACTTTTCCCCCCCATGAAGACACAAACACCTGGGGATGTCTGACCACCAGGAGCTTAAGAAAAAAACTCACTCGTGCCCTCTTTTTTATTATTTTTTTTTCTCCTCACGTTGCCCTCAAATTACACAGTCATCCTCCTCCTCTAACTGCCTTGTGTGCGTAAGATGATGGATGATTAAACTTCTGATCAAACTAGAGATGAGAGGAGTGTTGGAGGATTTTTAACAGACAGCTGAAGTCAAATCACTGTCTTAGCTCATGTTCTGTCCATTTCCCAAGTCAGTATTTGTGGGGTTAATTTTGCCAAATATTTTTTTGTTTTGTTTTTTTTAACCCTAGCCCTGACAGAATAAGATACTGGTTTTCCTCTGGTGGCACTGTAAAAGCTTGATCCAGCAGTTGGTTTATTTGATGGTATGTGGCCTTTTAACTGCTTTGTATTAATGGTCTTGATGAGATTAATAAATCACCCAGTCTTATTTTGTACTGAACTACTAATTTTTCTCCTCGTTTTTTCTTTTGATGTCAATTAGCTTTAAATTGAAGCTATATGTGTTGGAAAGATAAAGACATTCATAAAGGAAAAGTTTGCCATTTAGGGAACTACGTTCATCTGCTGTCCAGTTTCATTAGCTTAGTTTAGCATATGAGTAAAAAGCTAGTTAGGGTAACAAAATCCATCCACCAGCACCCCTAAAGTTATATATACATTGTTTACTCTGTACAAAGAATTAATATATTCTTTGTTTAATCTGTACAAAGACCTGTGTGAAAACGAATAGCCGTTTACAGGCAGTGCAGTAACGTTATGTACCGGACCATCCTCCAGTTAGAAAAGTACGATGGAGCACCCCCTGAAAAAATATGTACTTGGATTTCGCACGAAGCCTTAAACTAAATGGTAACAAAGTATATTTCCCTGTATTTAATTAAATTAATAAATACCATAATATAGTAAAACCTGTTCTGTATGTAAATTGATGTAGACTGTTAACAAGTCATTAAATCGGCCATCCTTAATTAACACCAAGGTCACTGCTGAGGGTTCAGTTTTGTGCACAAACAGTAGTTTGTCACGGTCAGCCATATTTTTTGTTCACTTTCAGCATCATGCACCTGGATCGCTTGGAGGTCGTAAGTTGGAAATTTCAATTTGGAAATGTCCGACTTTCGAGCAGTCTGGAACGCAGCATTTTTAATTACCAGGCAACCAGCGGGGAATCCATGAAATGATTGTGCCTGTTCAAAAAGTGGTCTCTAACACGACAAATGGCCAATTTTTGGACAAATTATACAAACTAGACATCACGTGTTAATTCGTGAGCCTTAGAGGTGCTGATAGGATGTTACAACTTAATAGAGGGCTAGCGGTTTCCAGCCTTTATGCTAAGCTAAACGGCTGCTAGCTAGCTTTAGCTAACATACAATCAGAGTGGAAACCTCTACACCAGCAAGCGAATACGCATATTATCCAAATGTTTACTGCTTCATTTAAATTTTTAAGTCTAGTTATTAAACCTAAAAGTAAAATGTGTTACTGAGTAATATGACATTTCTTTAGCTGCACATGATATACATATCATACAGTCCCCTCCAAAAGTATTGGAACGGTAAGGCAAATTCCTTTTGTTGTTGTTCACTGAAGACATTTGGGTTTAAGGTCAAAAGATGACTAAGAGTTCAGAATTTCAGCTTTTATTTCCTGGTATTCACATCTAGATGTGTTAAACAACTTAGGATATATCACAGTTTGTATTAGACCACAGCATTCTTAGGTGAGCAAAAGTAAAGGACCAAATAATCTTAAAAGTAAATAACATTTAATATTTGGTGGCATAACACTTGCTTTCATTAACTGCCTCAAGCCTGCGACCCATCGACATCACCAAACTGTTGCATTCTTCATTTGTGATGCTATTCCAGGCTTTTACTGCAGCTTCTTTCAGTTCTTATTTGTTTCGGGTGTTTCTCCCTTCAGTCTCCTCTTGAGGTAAAATGCAGCTCTATTGGGTTAAGGTCAGGTGATTGACTTGGCCAGTCTAAAATCTTCCTCTTTTCCCCCTGATGAAGTCCTTTGTTTTGTTGGCAGTGTGCTTTGGGTCATTGTCCTGCTGCATGATAAACTTCCTCCGAATTAGTTTCAATGCATTTCTCCGTAAATTGGCAGACAAAATGTTTCTGTACACTTCTGAATTCATTCTGCTGCTCAATAAATATTAATGAGCCTGTTCCAGAAGCAGCCATGCACGCCCAAGCCATGAGCTCCACCATGCTTCACAGAGGAGCTTGTATGCTTTGGATCATAAGCAGTTCCTTTCTTTCTCCACACTTCGGCCTTTCCATCACTTTGGTAGAGATTAATCTTGGTCTCATCATTTACATTTATTCATTTAGCTGACGCTTTTATCCAAAGCAACTTACAATTGCTATACACGTCAGAGGTTGCACGCCTCTGGACTAGGGGTTACGTGTCTTGCTCAGGGACACAATGGCAGATGGGTTACAGTGGGGGATTGAACCCGGGTCTCTCACACACAGGCATGCGTCTTATCTATTGCGCCATCACCCCATCATCAGTCCACGAGATTGTGTTTCAGAACTTTTGCGGCTTATCTCTGTGCTTACAAATTTCACTCTGGCCTTCCGATTCTTCCTGCTGGCGATATTTCTGTCATCAACTACTGCTGTTTTCCTTGGCCGACCTTTTCGACGTCTGTTGCTCAGTACACCAGTAGTTTCTTTCTTTTTCAGGACATTCCAAATTGTTGTGCTTTCCACGCCCAATGTTTGTCCAATGGCTCTGGTCGATTTTCCTTCTTTTCTCAGCTTGACAATGGCTTGCTTTTCTCCCATAAACAGCTCTCTGGTCTTCATGTTGGTTTATCCTCTTTAACAGGAAATGCAGTCTTTATAGGTTTGAACCAAGGATGAAAACTTAGATTAGTCATGCAGAGCTATTTAATGTTTGGACAATCAACCTAAAAGGCAACACTTGGGCAACAAGAAACATCACATGTTCAGTCACATGTTCCAATAGTTTTGCTCACTTGAAAAATGGGTGGGTTCAAACAAAGGGTGGTATGTCCTGAGTTGTTTAACACATCTAGATGTGAATACCAGGAAATGAGAGCTGAAATTCTGAACTCTTGTCTCATACTCATCTTTTGATCTTAAACCCAAATGTCTTCAGTGAACAACAACAACAAAAGGAATTTGCTTTACCGTTCCAATACTTTTGGAGGGGACTGTATTGCACCGTCTCACCTCTTTAAAAGAAAGTATTAGTAGTCTAAGCTTTGCTTAGAGAATGGAAGATTTTCTTTTCTCAGGTGTGTTGCACAACCGCCCCCCAAAAGTTCTCTGACTTTCTTCCCACATTGAAATGTAATCCCGAAGAACAACATTCTTGTCAAACAAACACGTTGGCAGTGTTCATAAAAGGTTCAGCTTTAACAGAAAATCAAGAAAAATCCCTTCTCCGTTTTTAGGCTCACTGATTTTGTCATTCATGCATTGTACACTGCTGTTATGGCCTTTTTTAACAATGTATCCATCAAATAAATCACAGCTTAGGCTCACGTTTGGTTGTAACTTCAAAGTTATGTGTGCAACAGTTTTTGGTGAGGGTCCTCGTGTCTCTGGGGAGGACAGCAAGGGAGGTCAAACAGTGCTGCAGGGTCCCTCGCTGTCCTCACTGTCCTCCCACAATCCACCGCTCATGGCTGCTGCGTGGTTCCCCCGCTGCTGAGGCAGACCTGGTCTGAAAACAGGTAAAAGTTGATCAATCTCATACGTCCAGTTTCGTATCAGCACTGAAACACCACAGAGCAATTGTGAATTTGGTTGTTTTTTTTAGTAAAATAATTCTTCTATATCACCACCACACCTGTGTTTATAGAGTCAAGTTCATCACTGTTGTAATTCCACCTGAAGGCTCTTACCTCAGATTTTCTCTGCTCGGGTTGAAATTGTGAAAGCTTTGCCTCGCTGGGGCTTGAATCGGTATGAAGCCTTGTCTGTTGTCTTTCTCTGGAGCTGAATCAGCCTGGTACATGAAGTGATGTGGATATATAGAGAGCAGGTTTGAGTGTATAAATGACAGGGGAAAATGGTATTAGGAGATACAGGATCACATTAACAATATTCATCCAAGCCTGTCATTTTTCTCCCTCATGAAGTTCATTTCACTAGTCATTGCTAGTTCTGTACTACTAAGCCTGTAAAAACTGTTGTATAATATCTGTCATCATTTGCGTACAAGCTGGAGGTTTGTTTGGAGGGTTTAAAGAAAATAGGCTACCAAGCTGCTTTGAGTATTTGTCCCTCCTTTTTAAGTATTTCTTTTGACTCCCCCCAACTTTATGGAAGTGTAATACTTCGAGTGATCAGCCATAACTTTATGACCACCTGCCTAATACTGTGTAGGTCTCCCTTTTGCCTCCAAAACAGCTCTGACCCGTCAAGGCATGGACTCCACTAGACCTCTGAAGTTGTGCTGTCGTATCTGGCAAGGCGTTAGCAGCAGATCCTTTTAGTCCTGTAAATTGTGAGGTGGGGCCTTCATAGATTGGACTTGTCCAGCGCATCCACAGATGCTTGATTGAACTGAGATATGGGGAATCTGGAGGCCAATTCAAAAACTTCAGCTTGTTGTTGTGTTCCTTAAACCATTCCTGAACCATTTTTGTTTTGCGGCAGGGCCCATTATCCTGCTGAAAGAAGCCACTGCCTGATCTGACATGTGGTACATGGTCTGCCATAATGCTTAGGTAGGTGGAACGTGTTAAAGTAACATCCACATGAATGGCAGAACCTGAGGTTTCCCAGCAGAACATTGCCCAAAGCATCGCACTGCCTCCTCCGGCTTGCCTTCTTCCCAGGGTGCATCCTGGTGCCTTATGTGTTCCCCAGATAAGCGACGCACACGCACCCAGCCATCCACGTGATGTAAAAGAAAACGTGATTTATCAGACCAGGCCACCTTCTTCCATTGCTCCTGGTCCAGTTCTGATGCTGACTTGCTCATTACAGGCCCCTTTGGCAGTGGACAGGGGTCAGCATGGGCTGCTTGACTGGTCTGCGGTTTCACAGCCCCATACGCAACAAATTGCAACTCACTGTGTGTTCTGACACCTTTCTATCAGAACCACCATTACCTTTTTTTTAGCAATTGACCTACAGTAGCTCACCTGCTGGATTGGACCGCATGGACCAGCCTTTGCTCCCCATGCACAGCAATGAGCCTAGTCCTCCCATGATCCTGTCACTGGTTCACCGCTTTTCCTTCCATGGACCACTTTTGATAGGTACTGACCACTGCAGACCGTTTTAGAGATTATCTGACTCAGTCGTCTAGCCATCTTAATTTGGTCCTCGTCAAAGTCGCTCAAATATATAGCATATGTATCCCACGATTGTCTATCACGGTTTCTATTCTTTCAAATGTTCTGATGGCATATGTACTTTTTTGTGCGGGTGTTTGTGTCCAACACAGTCCCAATGGAAATTACAGTCTACGTGTTGTTGTACCAGTCTGCCATGAGGAGGAGCCAAAGTTAAATATTGTAATTCTGCTGTGGGTTTAATATTACAAATTGTGCATCCTTAGCAGAAGTATGTGCTCCTTGAGTATTTTTTTAGTGTACATGTTTTGAGCACAGTTCAGTTACTTCAGGCAACATGTTACTACACCACATTGGGATCATTTCTTCCTAACCCACTTTGAAAGGATGTGGATACTGTAATATACTAAAAGTATGCCCAGCATGGACACAGCTTATGTGTAAAAACTGAATACCTGTTTGGATGGATCATCCCAGATGGGCCTGAAGGCACTTTTTGGATGTAGAGGAGGCGACCCCTTCCTGACACTGACCACCCTCTTTCCGTAGGAGCTGACGAGGCACGGCGTCTGCCCGTCCACACACGCCCCTGCTGTGTTTCTCAGAGGAGGGTGAGGAGTTAATCTGGGAATCTGCCACCTTAGGCACACAGTCCGCTCTCTGGGTGCATCCCTCGACTGCTGCTGCTGGCTGTACGAGGGCTTTAAGAGCACCGGCACCTGGCTGTCCTCCTCTTCGTCCTCCCCACTGTTGCTGTCCATCGTCTCCCTCCGCAGGGTGCCGTCAGGGCTACAGGAGGTGACGGAGGAGTAGTCGAAGGCCGAGGTGTCATCTGGGTCTGTCTCACAGTCCTCAAGGCTGTGGTTAGTGTGAGGAACCTCTAGCTCGTTGGTACCTTTCCCGGTGGGCTGGCTGAAGGTGCCCTGGCCCGAGTCGCTGTTGTCTCCCCATCCTGCAGCGTCGGGAGTAAGGAGGGAGCAGTAGGCGTGTCCACAGTCACGAGCCGGCTGGTTCGGGACAGTCCGGTCTCGTCCACAGCCCTTCCTCCTCACTGGGCTGCAGGACCAGCACTCCAGACGCATCGAGTGACAGCCGTCGACTCCATTAGTGAGGCCGACAGATTGCTGTTGGTCTCTGTGGGAAGGAGAGTGGAAGTTATTATACCTCCTCCTGCATCAGCTGGGAGAGTGACGGGAAAGTCTGTAGTACATTTACTACAGACTACATATATAAGTACTTTAATTAAGTACAATTTTGAGGTACTCTTACTTTAACTCCACTACATTTTGCAGGCAGTTGTACGTCTTACTTTGCAGATTCAGATTTTACATCACAGCATTAGATACACATATATTAATATAATTTATTATTTCCTAACCTCCTTTTCTTCTTTCTGGCATTTGTTCTTTCGTACTTTCTTTCGTTCCTACTTTCATTCCTTACCTTCTTTAAATTATCTGAAAACATGAAAATTCCCACTACTGGACATGTGAGGCTTTCTCTTCTTTCATTTAAATACTTTTACTTTGGATACCTGAGTTCCTTTTCCTGTTTTATTTATATAGCACCACATCACAACAACGGTTATCTCATAGCGCTTTCCAAAAGCAGGTTTAGATCATACTCTGTGATATTACTTACAGAAACCCAACAATTCCCACCAAGAGCAAGTGCTAGGAGACAGAGGCAAGGAAAAACTTCTTTTAAGAGGCAGAAACCTCGAGCAGAACCATGGCTCAGGGTGGGCGGCCATCTGCCTCGGCCGGTTGGGGGATAATAAAGGAATAATAATTGCCTGATAACATCGAGATGCACAATACCCAAGTATCTATTTGCAAGTTGATTTGGATGCTGTACTGAAATGAATGGATATCGGCTGCCTAGAAGTAAGTATTTTAATTTCCAACATTTTTGCACATCACTGAAAAAGTCACTTTCAACAAAATGTTTGCACTGTAGGTGTTCCCTTGCATGTTTTTTTTAAATAATTATTTATTCAGGGGGAAGCAATGATCTCTTTTACAGGAACGCTGTGACCTGGAAGTTGCTCCGAGTTTGACCCGACAACCCTTTGGTCACACCTTTAGGCCACCACTGTCTGAAGCCAGCAGAGGACGACACTCACCTCTGAGCTGCAGCGTTGGACTCTCTGGTCTGTTGGCTCCTCCTGCAACAGTTTGCAGAGGATCCGCCAGCCGCTGCATCAGAGCAACTGCTGTTCATGTAAAGAGTAGATATACATTTTCTATGAGTTTGTCAATGAGCCAAAGACACAAACACAGGAATTCAACTTAGTATGTGACACTGCTTCAGTAAGGGGTCAGAAATACAAAAATATCTACATACAGTTCTAATCTGATATAAGAGGCATCAACCTAAGTGTCTATACTTAAGGATCCTCTGAGTCAGCTAGTCCTTCTAATGATGCCCTGACCTTTGTCCAGCTTCTTCTCCTTCCTCCCACCGCACTTCCTCCTCCAGGATCACATGACAGCGGAACAAAAGGCTCCTCAGCGCTCGCTCAGTTCCCAGCAGGAGGCTACAGTCAGGATGCTCTTTACCCGTCCACTGCAACAAGTTCTAGAGAAGGAAAATTTGAGAAAAAAGTAAGTAATTCAGGTAGGGTTACGGTAATTTTTTAAAGCTGTAATCAACTATCAACCTGCTAAGTGTATGTATTTGACCTGTAGTACCTCTAGTGTTTCTAAACCTAAACTGAAATGTTCATTAGGCCTTTAATATTTCAAAATTTACATTTTTGTCTGTTTCTTTTCAGATGTTGAGCTACAGGTTTAGAGTTAACCTGCAGCCAGGGCTCGACTGGTAATCTGGCATACCGGGCAAATGCCCGGTGGGCCGAAGCACCTTCGGGGCTGGTGTAACGTAAATTATGTATTTCTATAACTGTTTTTAAAAAAGCCATTGGTTCATTTTCTATGCTGACACTTCTGGGGGAGGAGCCCCCTAAATAGTAGGCCTATTAAAATATTTTCTTGTCTTCTCATGGCCCCAATCTTGTGAGATGTTACGTCTCTTGGGCTAAGTGTTTCATCACACCCCTTATCCAAGCCCTTAAACGGAAGAATTATGTATTGGTGAGGGGTGTCTGACCGATTTTGTGGGCCGCCTGGGCCAAAAATGCCAGGGCCGATTTTTAGTCCCAGTCCAGCCCTGCCTGCAGCATCACATCTTGTGTAACAGCAGCGCTACAAACTGGCCTCACTGTGGCTGCTGACTCACCTGAATATGGTTCAGGTAGCTGTGTATGCGAGAGACAGGTGCCAACAGCAAGGAGAGCAGTTTCATTTCCTCTCTCTCCATCTGGCCGCTCTGTTGAATGCAGACAGAGAATATGTATCAGTATGTGTAGTTTCTCAAGCATATTATGACTGAATAATGTTGCTACATCACTTAAAAGAAGCTACCTGTGTTTTGTGACTTTTCTCAGGATGGTTTAGTCTGTTGAACTCCAGTGAGAGGAATGACGCCAGGGTTGTCGTGTATCCAAGGTACATATCCGAAAAGGCTGTCTGGACAACCCAAATCAGAGCAATCGTGTGTTCCTTTGGTGCTCAGTGTAATCCGCTGAAATCATAACCCCACCCCCCAAAAAAGCATTAACTCACGTCGTTTTGGCCAATAAGCTGCACAAGGATGTCTCCAACTAGAGATTTCCAGTGTTCAGCAGATAATCGCTCCTGCAGGGTGTTTCTGAAGAGCAGATGTCGCTGTAACAGCTGCTCCACAAACTTCAGGTATGTCTGACTGGATCACAACACAGAAATCAAGGATCACATATCGTGTTTTTTAACAGAAATACAAAGCAAAGCAGAAAATGTTCAGGTTTTTTTCATCTAACTTGGGCACATTTTGTGTTTGTTCAGGCTAACATTGCAAAAAGAAGAGATGATTTAATTTCAGTTTTTGTATCTGTGTTGTTGTAGAATATAATTGTGTCGTGACATTACAAGGTTTTTAAGGCAGGAAAAGACCCGAGCTGTTTATTTCCTCTGTAGCTACAGTTTGCTAAGTTACATAAAGTATTTAGCACTCACTATGGCTCCACAGTCATCTGGTGAGCTGGTGGCGTCTTGTATTTATCATACAGCTGGTTTAAGGTTGACACATACTCCCACTCAGAATGCAGAAGTTGCATCGCCACTTGATGTCGTGCATCTGTACAAAAAAAAGAAAATACAAATTTAGCTACACATGTATTCTTTTTATCAAATAATATAGCAACTTTGGAGGCGCTACTAAGTTTGTAAGTGATGATGAAGTTTAACCCTCAATTTGAACATCTAAATATAACAAACACAAATCAATGGCCAACATGTACTGCTCAATAGTGGTGGAAGAAGTACTCAGATCTTTACTTAAATAAAAGTAACAATACCACAGTGTAAATGTACCCTGATACAAGTAAAACTCAGGCATTAAGACACAAAATATACCTAAAGTATCTAAAGTAGAAGTACTCATTATGCAGAATGTCCCATTTCAGAATACTTTATATTTTTATCACTGAATAATAATTAGTGATGCAATCAAGTGTAAGCGTAGGTGTCATTTGCACTGGGGACGCAGGGGACGCTGGGGACATGTCCCCACCACTTTTGTCCCCATCACTTTTTAAAAGCATTTGTTAAAAATGTTCTGAAAAATAGCTTGCAACAAGAAATATTAAATAACAAATGTAAGTGCTATGAGACATGCAATGCAATGTGAATATAGAAAAAACAGATCTGCATTGTCCCCCCAAAAATTCTTAAGCTAAAAAAAAACAACATTATTACTGCATTATACTTTTATATTCTGAATTGTCACCTGCCACCTGAATTTTTTCCCTTTATATATCCACCATAAGTTGGTGCAGGAAATGTCTCCAGAATGCAGAAAATTAAGTGTTTAATACTCAAAGTCTCCCAAATCCCTCAATCAAACATTTTATCAATGAATATTTGAAATAGTATTAAAATATCTACTTGTCTTGTTCTTGTGACCCCAGTATTCTGCATTGTCCCGTATCATGAGTGTTTTGTCTCTCTAATCTGAGTCCTTAAATGTCATCTCTTTTCAACATAAAGTGATGTCCTTGTGTGTAAGCATCACTAATGTTGCAGCTGGACTAATTTAAAGTACTTTATACACTGCTGGGTACCTCAAAATTGTACCTAAGTACAGTACTTGAGTAAATGTACTTAGTTACATTCCACCACTACTGCAAGTACTTTTGAAGAAATATCAACAACCCTCCCACCCACACCCCCACCCCCTACTGCCCTGACTTTTTAAAACATTTTACTGTTTTAAAGTTTTAAAATATTTAACTTTTTTTAAAAGCCAAATGAAAATATTGCACAGCTGAAAATATCTTCCTGACATTAGACAGACAAACAGTTTTGCTCATTGTTGGTTGAAATATCATTGTGATACAGCAATCAGCTATACAGACTGGCAAAAAAAAAAACTCCTCACCTGTGCCTTCACTCAGTCCTGCTTTGAGGCCCTGCAGGAAACAGTGGAGGAGCAGCTTTCCTCTGGATGGACAGGCGGGTGGCTCAGACGAACAGTCACACTGCCTCCGTTCACCGGCCGGTTCTGCTGGATCGCTGCTGCAGTGGACATATGGCAAAATTGTCTCTCTACAGGTTTAACCAGCAGTTATTATTACCGCCCGCTGACTAGGTGTGAACACCTTTTTATGAATAATCGTTTGCTGTTTACCACTGAAATGATGATGAATTAATATGAACACATATTAGATGATACGTGTGGATTTCCTGCAAACAAACAAACACATAATTAAGAAGACCTGCATGTTCTATTCTGCTTTTTTACCTTGTACCGTGGGGTCAAATTTGGCCGGATTTTGCCACATTTACAGCACAAAGTAAAGCGTTATACTGGCCCCTAAGAACAAATACTGAATGTACTTCTGCATTTATTCAATTTCCCTATTTTCCCCAATATCTGTGCTATCGCTCTTGTTTATATTTTGGTATTTACAGTATTTTTTTAATTTCATGAGCAAATTCCCTCCATGTGTGAACTTTATTTCTTGTATGTGTTTTGTCCATTGAGGCCATGGTAGCAGGGGGCCAAAGCTGCAGGCAGATGAAGGAATGAGTATAAAAGTGAAACTTTCATATATTCTAGATTCATTACACATAAAGTGAAATATTTCAGGACATTTTTTTTGTTTTAACCTTGAGGATTACGGCTTACAGCTCATGGAAATCAAAAATCCATATCTCAAAATATTTGAATGAAGAATGTATAATATATAATACCAAAGTATCAACCTGAGAAGAGCCTTTAAGACTTCTGACACTCATTGACCCCCTCCACAAGGAGGGTAAGCCACAGAAGGTCATTGCTGAAAGGGCTGGCTGTTCACAGAGTGCTGTATCAAAGCATATTCATGGAAAGTTGACTGGAAGGGTAAAGTGTGGTAGGAAAAGGTGCACAAGCAACAGGGATGGCCGCAGCCTTGAGAGGACTGTCAAGAAAAGACGGTTCAAGAACTTGGGCGAGCTTCCCAAGGAGTGGACTGAGGCCGGAGTCAGAGCATCAAGAGCCACCAGGCACAGACGTGCCCAGGAAATGAGCTACAAGTGTCACGTTGCTAGTGTCACGTTGCTAGTGTCAAGCCACTCCTGAACCAGAGACAGCGTCAGAAGCGTCTTACCTGGGCTATGGACAAAAAGAACTAGAAAACCTCTTTTCTAATGAAAGTAAATTCTGCATTTCATTTGGAAATCAAGTTCCCAGAGTCTGTAGGATGAGTGGAGAGGCACAGAATCCAAGTTGTTTGAAGTTCAGTGGAGTTTCCACAGTCTGTGATGGTTTGGGGTGCCATGTCATCTGCTGGTGTTGATCCACTGTGTTTTTTCAAGTCCAGAGTCAAAGCAGCGTCTACTAGGAGATTTTAGAGCCCTTCATGCTGACAAACTTTATGGAGAGGCTGATTTCCTTTTCCAGCAGGACTTGGCACCTGCCCACAGTGCCAAAACCACTAAGAACTGGTTTGCTGACCATGGTATTACTGTGCTTGATTGGCCAGCCAACTCACCTGACCAGAACCCCATCGAGAATCTATGGAGTATTGTCAAGAGGAAAATAAGAGACACCAGACAAACAGTACAGACAAGCTGTAGGTCGCAATCAAAGCAACCTGGGCCTCCATAACAACTCAGCAGTAGGACAGGCTGATTGTCTCCATGTCACGCCGCATTGATGAAGTAATTTGTGCAAAAGGAGCCCCGACCAAGTACGGAGTGCTTTTCCATGAGCTGTAAGCCGTAATCATTACACTTTATGTGTCTAGAAAATATGAAAGTTTCACTTTTTGACTTAAATTACTTAAAGATGAGGTTGAGGCTATGGTTTGTCAGAGGCCAGTCTCCTGAGCTGTGATTTAATTTGTTTGGATCTAATACTTTGTATTAATATCTGTACAGCTCTGTAGTTTATATCTGTGTAATTTCTTTCTTTTTTATACCTTTCTCTCTGTTTGGATGTGGAGCTCTTTCCATCCTGCTGAGGTCTATGTCGGTTACTGTACAGCTGCAAGATCTGACACCGCATCACTCCAAGTTCTTCCTGTAGTATGACAAAGACGCAGGACCAGAGTTTGGTAACTCATTTTATACTCTGTAACATCTGTTACACATCCTTGAGAGAATCCAGTCTAATTTGAGTGTTGAGTGTGTTTGCGTTACTGTTAATGTGGCTGTTGTTGGTTTTAAATGATTATGTGAGTATAACACATGTTGTAACAAAACTTAACATTTGATTTTTTCTTAATAATTAAAACTAATCAAAGTCTCACCTTCAGTGACTCGACCAGAGCCTCCAGACGAAGTGCTTTCTTCTGGCAGCTCCTCCTGTTCTCCTCCAGTTCCTCCCTCAGATACGTGTCTCCATGTTGGATCTGACTGAGCTCCAGCAGAGCGCTGGTAAACCCTGTCTTCAGCTCCGAGACCATGCATTGTAACTGATTCATTGACAAGGGACAGCAACAGCGTTGACTTTTACTATGAAGTTGAAGCTAATTAGAATGTCTAAACTGCATTTTTGATTCTGGGCATCAGAAAAGCTTTAAATTTAAAATACACTGTCTCTTTAATAAAATTAGACTGGCTGATGAGGGAAGTTGCAACATACCTTGGAGATTTCGGTGACAAGCTCTGCCTCTTGAGGCTTCATGACCTGTGCAAAGAGACACACAAACAAGGCTGTTTGCAAACACTAAGTTATTAATGTGCACAGACCGTCACAAACTGCAGCCTGAAGGACCTTTTTATATTTCCAGCTGATAGTCTGTAAAGAGGGAAAAGTCCACCATGCAGAGAAAAGCATGTTCTCCTGTGTAATTCACTCTTATCTCCAAACATTGATCTGAAAGTGTTGCATTCACACAACAGGTACAAAGCAGGAAAGTCAAACTGTTTGTTTAACAACCTCTTCCTAACCAAATACACACCAAAATTAGAAGAAGCAAACAAAAACTGAATATCTGCATACAGTCTGATTTGAGTAGTTATGGTTTTAAGCATATGTGAATTCTGTCATACTTATCTATATATTAAAGTAAGTCTAAATGTAAGAATTAGAGTCACATAACCAGATTTAATGACCTCCCTGCATTTATTCCTGTTTGTTTGTGTTACCTGCTCAGAAGTTGCCCCTGCCAGCAGCCCCTCTGCTAAGGAAGTGGCAAGCCAGCCAAAGAGCTCAGCCCTGCAGGGGAAATGGCTGCAGGAGCCAAGATCCCTCCTTTTATGCCTGCTGACAGAAGGACAGGCACGGGTCAGCAAAAAGCTGAAAAATGGAATATGCAATTGCCTCTTGTTTTAAAACCCGACTAATATAGGATCTCCTTTTTTTTTTTAATCACTTTTCTGGGATTAAAATATGAAGAAATCACAATTTTATTGTTAGTTGTGAGACTTTCATGCTAGCTGCCTAAATGCATTTTATAATAGGCTACTTCCAAACATAATTATAATATCAGTGGTGTCCAAATATCCAATCATCCATCAAATAACATGCCACAAACACTGATTGCTGAAGCAAAAGATACAAAAGACAGCCACCAGAAACTCACCTCAGTTAAAGATCGTCAATGTTGCTTCTCCAGACATCTGAAGAGATGCCGTGAATATTAAACAAAAGACAAAACAAAATTCCCGGTGTTTCCTCTTCTGTGGAAAAACTTGGTTTCCGTCATTTGCAGTGTTTGGAGGCAGGTGTCTCGCGCTGCGATGTGCTCTGCTCTGTGCGGACGGCAGATGTCCCGCATGACGCTTACTGAGCAGCTCTGTGATTTACTGGGGAAGTCAGATTCAACATGAACGTTGCAAATACCCTAATGGAAGTATTGTTTTACGATACAGTTACTTACTGTGATTGAGCTATTGTTTCACATCTTCAGATAACACTTAAAATGTTGATGTCCATAAAGTCGTTTCTTAATATGGACATGTAAAATTTTGTCAATGGAATTTCCTACAAAAAATTGATGTACTAATTTCTTAGGGAGTGAAATAGGAATAAGGCGTAAGAAAACAGACAAAGGGCGATTCTATTATTAGCCTACAGTAACATAAATGAAATCAAAATATGATATAAATGAGAATAATGACATTATAGACAATATAACAATAATAAAAATTAATGAATTGTGCAAATAATTGGGAGAAATAAATCCAGAAATCCACTTATGTAACTCCGGCAGCCATATTATAGCCAACATCAATTAAAGGTATGAATAACAATATATATAAATATATGTTAAAATATGCATACATAGGCTTCATTACGCTGTTGGAATGTATGAATTTACAACAAATTTTATTGTATGAATTTACAATAGGCTTTTGCTGATTGATAATCGATTCCACTAATTCAAACACATTGAATATCATTAAATAAACAGATTATATCGCCAAGATTTAGAAAACAGATCATTATTTCTTGTTGTCGCCGATTATATTCTTCACCCCGCCCGTGTGAATCAGTCCGGAACTTAAATCGAGCGCACACGCGCCCTGCTTTGTTTTTGTGAGGGGCGTGGTTAAGAGGCAGTACTTGAATCTGATTGGCTGCTGGGTTCAAGGAGTTTTCAAATCGATGCCGCAGCTGACGGAGCTGTCAAAACAGTCGACAGGAGGAGAGCGTGACCGGTGAGAATTCAGAAACACGACACAGCTATACCTTATTTTTATCCACATATCTGCATCTCTGTTACACTAACACATCTCTTTAAATCTTTTCTGATAAAGAATAGATAAATGTTTAATTTAAATTTTCGATCTGACAGATGCACAGCTAACGTTAGCTACTATCATCAGCAACACATTTCTCTCTCCGTGCACCATAACGTTACAAATTACGCTCGACAATGTTCTCAGTTCTGACATTAATGTTAATGCAATGTCAAAATAATAGGCTGTTTTCGTCGGAATCTTAATACTTTGTGAGTAGTGGAGAAAAAGCTTCCTACTAGCCAGACTGTAGCAGCACAGTTTACAGGATGGTATGTAGCCTAGCCACTTGCTCGCACGTGAGCTTCTTTAAAGGACCATACGATAATGTTCTTAGCGTATTTTACTCATCATAGTACAATATCAGTGGTGGAAAGTAACTGAGAACATTTACTCAGGTATTGTACTCGAGTATAATCTTGAGGTACTTTACTTTTGTGTTTTCATTTTCTGCTACTTTACTTTTACTTCATTACATTTGTTTGACTTTAGTTACTAGTTACTTTGCAGGTTGAGAAGAATAATGCAAAAAATAATCATATAATTAATGATGATTCACAAGGTTCACAAGATAGCAGTTTAAAAACTAATCCCACCTTTACCAACTACCTGCAGTAACTTAAATTGACCATTCTGCATAATGAGTACTTTTACTTTTAGAACTATATTTATTTTTAGGCACTTTTGTACTTAAATTTTGAGGACTTGTAATTGTTACAGTATGTCTACACAGTGGCACTGCTACTTTAACTTAAGTAAACACAATATCACATGACATTAACACAAGACATTTGAGGAAGTCATCTTTGGCTATGGGAAACACTAACAACAGACATTTATTACCATTTTCAGGCATTTTATAGAAGATAATCAATGCTGAAAATAATCATTAGTTGTAGCCCTACACTTTATATCACTGCCCATAACTTCCAAAGTATGTGCCATGGTTTTGGGGGGATATTGAGTTGGTTTACATTTGATCCAATTCAACACTGAATTTCTCTGTCCTTCCTACTGTCTCAACAGTCTGTTGAGCTGTTGCCATGAGGACAAGCGAGTTTGACTCTTCATCTGAAGAAGAGGAAGTTGGAGAAGAGCAGCTGACTCCCTTCCACATCTCCTGGTAAGATTCAGCGGGTTCCTTTCGTCTTGAGTTACCAAAAGTGTGTGTTTTCTGTCAGTATGATGTAGGTAATGTTTATTCTGAAGAGCCAGTTTGTTTTTAATTGGTGACATGTAATACAAGCATGGCTGTTCAAGTATATGATATTTTGGTTGGCTTAAAGGTTACCTCTGTCCATAGTGGAGTGCTCACAGTTTCTTGGGATATGTGCACTACCAGGTAAAGTTGTAGTTTATTATTTTATTTATTTCTACAAGTCACTGATTTCACTTTATCATAAGGTTTTGTGTTACTGATCATAAAAAAAGAAATCATCCTTCATCTGACTTCAGGTTGCAAATTCAAAGATATCCGCAGGAGTTTGGAAAAAGATGTTGGTAAGTCGACCTTAATCCTTAGTGGTGCTCAAATAAAATAATCTGCAAGAAACCATGTTAACATTCACAAGTAGATTTTAGCTTTTATTAATTTTCATGAAATACCTCATACCAATAGATTGAGGAAATGTAGTGAGAGAGATTAAAAGTTAATTCAGCACATCTTTCTGTAATTGACAACATCATGTAAATTGTCATTGTCCAAGATGTTCTCCTGTTATTTGTCATTTTGTGAATTCCATATGACTTTCACAAAATCTAAATGTTTCTTGTTGTGCAAATCTATTCTTCTTTTCTTTCAAAGTGCATTAGATACAGAATCGTTTCACAGAAATTAATCTATGTCCAGCCATGTCTTGCTGTTTGGTGAAAAACAAATAGTATTTTTTATAATGTGGCTTAGAGCTGCAACTAACAGTTATTTTCTCCCTTAAGTACTTAATGGTTTGGTGTATGAAATGGGGGGAAAAATACAATTTGTCACAATTTAATGTGCCATGTAACATCTACAAGTCACTTGTTTTGTAACCTCTAAGGTATTTAGTTTGATGTCACATAAGACAAAGAAAGTCATCTGTCGTGGAAATTATATTCCCGGTGAGGGGCTGAGCAAATAATTGAGTTACAACAAACCGTTGTCTTTGAAGAATTTATTTAACAAAAGAGAATAAACAGAGAACACAAATCAGCTGGACCAGAGGTTCTGTCTCCTAAGACAGTCACTAGTGTCTGGCCCCCAGCAAAAGGCTGCAAATCATTTACACAGTCTAGATTTCTATGTTTTGGCGAACAGAGATCCTCTCTCGGCCTTGAATGAACATTCCAGGAGAGGAGAGGAACAACAAGAGAGGGAAAGCACTAAAAATTCACAGCTCTGACCTAAACCCTAGTAAATGTGGACAGACTAACATAAGAAGTATAGGAGAGGAAAGGTTAAGGATAAAACACAATACATATTAATAATAATAATAGTAAAAGAACATACATAAAAGATTAAATGTAAGAGGACACAATTTTCTGCCATAACATCATCAAACATCATAACATCATAACATCATATTGAAGAAGCTAAAACCAGAGACTGTTTTTCATTTCTGCTTGAAAATTGACACACAAAAACATATGCAAAAGTTAATAATTTTCTGTCAATTAATTTACCAATTGTTTCAGCTCAAGTGTAGCGTGTGTGTGTGTGTGCGCTAGTGTCAATAGTATTTTAGTCTGATTATCCGGTTTGTGTCATGATGCAAAGGCCTTACGTAATGCTTCATCACTTTTATGTTGTTTGTGAAAACACATAGATGGCAGCTTCTTGTATTAAAGAATGAAAGTTTCTCATTCTCAATATGAGAACCAGAGCCAGTGCCATTTAACATATTGCACCCCTAAAATGGTCGTGTTTTGGACCAGTCTCTCAAGAAAAAAGGGCTGTAACTTTCAAGAAATAAACTTCAACTGTCTTGGCTTCCTCTCAGAGGAGCTCCAGAACCAGGGGGTGCAGGAGGTGTTTGTTTTCCTCACCAGAGGAGAACTTAACAAGTACAGGGTCCCTTCATTGCTGGAGGTCTACCAGCAGCAAGGCTTCACAGTTCACCACATGCCCTTCCCAGATGGAGGCGCTCCTGAGCTGGAGCAGTGCTGCCAGATCCTCGAGGAGCTGCAGATCAGCCTCAAGAACAACAGAAGGACTGTGATCCAGTGAGTGTGTACTGATGATTATTGTGATTTTTGGGGAGCCTTTATTCTTAAAGTGAAAGGGACAGAAACTGCATGATAAGAGAGAGCGGAAGATAAATTGGCAAATGTGAATTGGGTGACATGACACAAAGAGTCTTGTCATGTCACCCAATTCACTTTTCCCAATTTATCTTTCTCTTTGTTTTGGATGAAATAATGTAACAGAAAATGGCAGAATGTGTGTTTAGTATTTTACCTGATTTGTCCAGAAACTCAACACAATACATAATGATAATACAAATAATAATAATACAAATGAGTACCTTTCTTGGTTGCATTTTTTTGTGTCTCTCTTAACTTAACTCAAGCAGCTCTACATGAACAGAAATAAAAGTGAATAGAAAGAATCTGAAAGAGCGTTTTAGTGGTGGACAAACTGGCATCCTTTGATCGGATTATACGGCAGCATATCTGCTGACATCATGACAAGAAAAAAATATTTTGAAAAGTTTTAATGATTGACAGCAGAGGTTTTCAAAGTGTGTGGCGGACGTTTATAATAACTTGAAAATTATCTGCTCAGTGTCTCATTAAGATGTGAAATGTTTTGTGTTTTAACAAGATCCTTTTCACCTTTTAACGAGAAACTGAGCACATTTCTTTCTCTCTGATAAATTCAGATCAAACATTTTTTATTCTGATTGATTATTATTGTTGTTGTTGTTATAATTAGAGTAAAATGCTCCATATAAACACAGATACCGAGAGCAGCCTCAACAGACTAGAGCAGTAAAAGGAAGTTTGCTGGTTCAAGTGTCACTCTGTAAAACCAGGACAATAAATTCTATTTAGAGACTCTTGAATCCCCAAGTGAGCTGATAAAGCTGCTCACAGGCAACAGGGAGAAAGTGGCTGTAATGGACTCGCCTAATGTATGAGTGAGTTCAAATGTGTAAATGTGAAAAGCCTGCAAATAGCTGTTCCCAGGTTGAGTAAAGCTCGATTCTACCATGCTTTCTGCGACAGATTTAGCTTTTGTATTTTTGAATTTGAAGTATTTTTAAACCTTTTGAAGTGCCAGACAGCCCTAGAGAGGCAGTGTACATCTCACCACAAAGACATCTATTCCTGCATCAACACCTTGGGACACCTCTCATTACACAACTGAACAATTTGCTTTGAGCTTTCAGCATCTGATGGGCTTCTGTGCTTTTTTGTCCTCACCCTTTAGCTGTTACGGAGGTCTGGGACGCTCTGGATTAAGTAAGAATATTTTACTTTTTCTTTGAAAGTTGCTCTTTGCTCCGCCTGTCATATTATTTATCATGTTAACCTGAGATCAGTGTGTTTTTCTTTGATGATATTTGGTTTTCTAAATATGTAATTTAATGTTGAAACGTTAGACTTTTTTAGATAATATTAAATCCTCTCTGATCATTTTGTTTCATTGCTCTGATTGCATGACTGTTTTCTGCTCTTCAGTCGCTGCCTGTCTGCTGATTCAGCTCTCCATATCCATGACGGCAAACAAAGCAATCGAAATCCTCAGGGAGCACAGAGGAGGAGGAGCGATCCAAACTGTGAAGGTGAGAGGTGACTTTTCTCCCCCTCAGAATCTGTTATATTTAAAGCAACGTTGCTGAAGATTTGGTGTTTTTTTTGTGATATGGTGTCCCTACAGTCCCTACAATTAATAATGATCAAAAAACTTTGTTAACACAGCCAAACATCAAGCAAGTGTGACAACACAAGACACAGCAATATTACTTAATAATCCAACAGAAAGAAGGCCAGCTCGGCGTCTGTCTTGCAGCCTCTTATTTCTGATGGTATAACGTTTAATAAAGAAATGTGATAGTTCAATCAACTTCTAAACAGTTGGGCATCACATTGAGTCCATACTGAAATGGCTGCCTTTTAATGTAAGAATGTAAAATAAATAAAACTCTTGAAATTAGGGCTTGGCGATAAAATTATTACAATAATCATATATCATAATAGTTTACTTAATGTTACCTATGCATATTTTTAAAAAAAAATGCTGTTTGTCATGTTCTGACCATAAAGAATAGTTTAAAACACAATTAACCATCTGTTTTTTTCAGCTTTTACTCAGGAGCAAAAATCGTGTTTGACTTGACTCATTTTTTTTCTGTAGCAATACAACTTCCTCCATGAGTTTCGGGAAAGGTACACAGCCTACCAAGAAAGCCGAGAAGTTCCCACAGAGCGCTCGGTGTCTCGGTGATCACTGCTCTTCTCTTCAAATCATCGATCTCTCATTTGTCAGCGATTCTTTCCTGATTATGTGTGATATAATTGTATTCTCTTAGGATTGCACTTTAACAGAATACTCTAATATATTGCATTTTCACCTTCATTAAAATGAAATTAAAGTCTTGATGAGGAAATCCTGCCGGATTTTACTTGTAAGCTTAAAATATGTTGTTTGCATTTATATCACATTTAAGATAATGGAGATTTTTGTTCCTCTCCTGTTGTAGCTATACTCTATTTTTAATTTCTCTAAATCTGTAACACTGCAAACCAGTAATTTCTCCATTATTTCTAAAATATACCGTATTTTACATACTGTCGCATGCTTTGTACAGGTCTGCATTTTGGTTACTTAATTCCTCATGGTTGATGCAAAAAAAAAAAATCACAGGTGTAATCCCTGAGTCTGCGATCACATCCATTGATGACCACACATACTTGTGTCCTTATGCAACACATTGCTTGCTTGCTTGCTTAATGTAAGTCACTGTGGACCTGTATGTAGGGTTTATATTGGCCTTGAAAATACTTTTTGTGGTTGAAATAAGGTATTTTTAGAAAAGGAATATGCCTCATCTGTTCTTTGTCATAGCGCTGTCATCTCACTATGGGACACTGGGACATCTAACTCATGCTACCCAAAGAACGGGGTCACACCAGTAACCTAAAGTTCATCCTGAGAAAACTGATATTTGTGTTGAGAAGCTGTTATAACACAACTTATCAGGAATTCCTACCAAGATCATATAGTAAAGATAAGTCTAATTTTGACCAAAGTCTTGATTTCATTTAAAACATAAGGACTTAATTTAAACAAAGTCCTCTTGAATTTGATGTTCAGGTCAGTAAAAAAGGGTGGGTTCATCTCAATGCTCTTTGTTTCTTTGTTTAGGTTAAAAAGACTAAGAGACTGGAGCCATGATAGCAGCTCTGTGAGGCTACTTACACACAGTGGTGCTTTGGCCTAAATGCTAAAAGTATGCTAACAAGCAAGTGGTAAGAAAATATAATTTTCCATGTAGTTTGATGTGTTAGCATGCTAACATTTGCTAATTGGCACTAAACTCAAAGTACAGCTGAGGCTGATGGGAATGTCATTTGTTTTGGACAAAGCGAAATTTGGATCTGATGATGAATTAATCCTGTAGGGACAATGAATCTATACCACATTTGACAGCAATCTATCCCAATTTGTAGAGATATTTCAGTAAAAACATCAACCTCATGGTGGGGCTACAGGAAAAGTTAGATCATCAAAGTCATTCAGTTACACCTTCTGGGAACCATGAATGTCTCTACCATATTTCATAGCAATCCATCCAATCATTACCCAACTATTTCAGTCTGGACTTAAGTTGTGGACTGACAGTCCTGCTGGCATGGCTAATAAAATATTTGTACTTCTGTCTGCTCGTGTACTCATTTCATTTAAAGGTGTTTAATTAAAACAACATTCCAGTCCATAATAACAGAGTGGGATAGTTTTATTGAGATTCAAATAAACTCAAGTTGTCATTTCCTGGACGTAATACGATGGGATCACATAAAAATGCAATTTTATCTTAAATGATCACCCTTTCCCTGACAGATTTACATATGTGAAAATGGCAATAAATACTCTAGTATTTATGAAAACATCTGTCTAATGGCCTCAACTCTAAAAGAAATCACACTCCAGATTTGATCGGAAATGACCCGACACTGCGAGGAGTGCTTGATATCCTGGAGACAAAGTGAAATTAAAAACATTTCATGAATAAATAACGCTGTGGAATATTTTCTGTTGAAATGAACAATGACAAAAACAGTTTTGAAAAAAAGGTACATTCAACAGCATGGCACATCAGCGCTCTCCTACCAAAGCTCAAATGCAGAAAGCAGAGACTAACAAAGTATTGTTGCTTCCTAATGCTGAATATATTATTGTACTGTTGAGTCTACCTTTTTATTTATCGATAGCTGCAAGGGCAACTCTACAGAAATACAGGTCAAATACACATTGCGGTCTACTCTGGATTCACACTTAAGAAAACAAATATTGCCATTGATTTCAACAGGGACTACAAGATTTAAATGCGATGATAAATAGATCTGAAGTATGGAAACAATACATCAGATTGTTTAAACTGATGCAAAAACCAGACTATGATTGTCCCTGTGCAACACGTTTCACTAAGTGATAATAACCCATGCACTTCAGCCCTATCTGTACATAACTTCTCTTAAAAAGAAATCAATTTTAAGACCATTTGTATCTATGGGCAAGAACAGAAGTCTAGTTTACACTTTGCTGTTTGTTTTAGTGACGATAACGAATCACATGGCAGGTATAAATTAGCTTTTAAAGCCCAGAATCTAATTCACAGAAAAAGCTAATGCAGTTCAGCACACAGCTCAAGATTCACACAGATTTTGCACACCTGAAAATGGCTACCTAATGTGTAAACACTCAAAAGTTGGGAACCAATATGAAAAAAAGAAAACCTTTATTTAAATCCCAAGCATCAAAATCATCACACCATTAAAAATAAAAAGGAAAAAAACTTGTCCATTCAGGTTTGTCCTTATTTCCCATAAAACTTTAACTATAGTGCTATGAGAGGAATGCTCCGACCGAGCAATTCTCTTAAAAGGGGCTAAATGTTTCCAAAATGACACGCTGCACGGCATGTGTGTGTGGTGTTAGGGTCGAGTTTGTCCACTTGAAATGGCGTCTTGTGTTGCTGAACGGTGGTCTCCAGCAGGTCCAGTGTTCCAGCACTAAGATCATAGTGTCTGGTCATCTACTGTACATGCAGGTCCTTTTCCTTCATTGTCTGGTTTAAGAGCTCACCAGAACATAAATCATCCTGTTAGAAATAAAAAGAGAAAGTGGACAAGTTAAATACTTTAAAATGTTTTGCAAATATCACAGCTCACTGTGATGGATTTTACAGGGTTTTACATCTTTTGTTTAAGAGGTAATTATGACCTTAAATTCAGCTACAGTTAAAAGTCCAGTGTGTAATATTTAGGAAAATCTGTTGACAGAAATGCAAGATCCTATGTTTTCAGTGGTGTATAAAATCCCCTACATAACAATTCATTATGTTTTTATTACCTTAGAATGAGCCATTTCTATCTACATACACCGCGGGTCCCCTTACATGGACGTCGTCATGTTGCACAGCCATGTTTCTACAGTAGCCCAAATGGACAAACTTCTCTACAGAGTGCATTCTGTCACCAAGTTGAATACGTATGAGGAGGATAGTAGTAGTAGCAGTAATAGTAGTCGTCGTAGGGTTTATTAGAAGTAAGAAGAGACATGAAATTTCGACACATAGGGACCACACGTATCATTTAGCACAAGAGCTAACAGTGTCTCGGCCAACGTAGCTTCTCCTAGGCGCTTGGAAAGGGTGGGGGAGCGGTGGCTGAGCCGTTGGTTGCAATTCGCAACCCTCACCACTAGATGCCACTAAAACCTAAACACAACCTTTAAGCAAACTTTTCAGAATTTTAGGAAATATTATTCGCTTTCTTGCCAAGAGTTAGATGAGAAGATTGATCCCTCTTATGTGTGTGTTAAATATGAAGCTATAGCCAGCAGCTGGTTAGCTTAGCTTAGCGTAAACATTTACTCATTTGGCAGACGCTTTTATCCAAAGCGACTTACATTTGAGAAACAACATACAAGCATCAAATACAGCACGAGATCTACAACTGACAATATATACTAGTAAGAGCAGCAATAAATACAAGTAAGAGCTAATGGAACATATTGCATCAATGGGGTAAATACCGAGGGAAAGAAGTGAGAGTTAACAAAAAAGTGCAATCAATACAAGATAATTGTAAGGGTATAGGGGGAAAGAAGAGCACAGGAAGTGCATGTTAGAGGTTAGGAGTTTGAGGTGTTATGAGAGGAAGTGTTTTCGGAAGAGATGAGTTTCAAGAGCTTCTTGAAGTTAGAGATGAACGCCCATGCTCTGATGGCTTGTGATAGCTCGTTCCACCATCTGTTAAACACTGGAAACAGCTAGCCCTGCTTTTTCAAAAGGTTAGAAATCCACCTACTAGCACTTGTAAAGCTCACATATTTTATCTTGTTTGTTCTATCCATACAAAAACTTTAATGTAAAATTGACAGTTCACCATTTTATACAGTTCAGTCAGTCTCGGACTATTTCTTGGCCAGATAAGTAGCTAGAGCGCTCCATGGAGCTACTGATCCCAATCAAGAAACAACATATAATCCCCCCTAAAACCACAAATTGACGTTTTACACTTTTTAAAATACAGATTAAACAAATAAGAGATCCATTGTTAATTAGTGATCTTTAGCTGTGCTAGCAGGCAGATTTTGTCACCTTTGGTATATAAGTCTCGGCAAGAAGGGGATAAGCGGATTTCCCAAAATTTTGAACTGTATGAGATTTGAGTTCGCACAGGATAAGTATTATCAGGAAACTTACCGTCTTTACTTTAAATTAGAATACTTAATTTGCACTAGACTTTATAGATTTACACATCTTCCCCATCATTACAAACTGGACATCCCCAGATTATACATAAAACAAACGCTTACAAAAAACAAAAAAAAGCAGAAAAATTATTTTGTACCCGTAGAGATAGTAGAAGAATGACAGGAGGTAGAAAGCCAGTTTGCACCAGCCTTCTTTTTGACAGAACGCCAGGATGTCAGCATTCATGATGGTCGTTGGGTCGTAGAGTCCTGGACAGCTCATCACTGGTCTGCTCATATACCTGCATCACCGCAAAATAAAATGGTTTGTTAAATCAGATTATGCTTCCCTTTGTGCAGGTGTTTGTTGTGAAAACCGAGAGCCTCAGGTACTTCAGCCTTTTATTGAAAGACTTAACACTATAGTGAATAAATCCTTTACATCAGATACCCACCTCCAGACGTGATAAGCCAGTAGTGGTAAGTTGAGACAGAGGGTGAGCCACTCGGCCGCACAGAAGAACATCACGCAGAAGAAGAAATGGATGAGATACTCTGGGAGCACCAGCTGAAAAGAGCAACGTTTGAAGAAAATTTCAGAATCCACATACAGTTACAATACAGTCCAACAGCCTTGTTCTTCAAGCCTGATGCTGATACACTGTCAGTAATATTTAACAAATTCTAAAGCTGTCCACAAAAACTCATTAATAACCAAGTGTGGTATTGAATAAAGTTGTATTAAATAAATGTGACTTGTGGGACGTGAAAGGACACTGGTCATGGACATTACACCATGAAGTTACAGAGCCTCAAAGGCCTTTTTTTAAAATGGAGAAATGTGAGCTATTTAAAGAGCCAGACATAAAAAACAAAAAATTGCAGTCGGCTCCACAGCGAGTCAACGACGGGAGTGAAATACAAATGAGCTCCAATGAGATGCTAATTTGAACAGAGCAATTATATACACACTTTCCTCAAATTCTGTGCAGTTGAAACCTACTGTGTCACAATATCAATGTGATGCTACATTACTTTACATCACTACTATCCAGGAAGCTATTGTGCTGTAGGCATAATACATGAACAGTGCTTTGTCATGCACTGATCTGACAATGTGGAACACAATAAACAGGGTGAAAAATTAAGACCTGCCACCTGCAAACTGGCTAAAAAAAAAAAAAACATCACCAAACTGAGGGGGGGGGGGAGGGGGAGACCTAACTTGGCCTATAAACAAAACTCCCACAGAGAGATTTATGCATTACCCTCAGATGTCCTCTGTCTAATGTGGCAAAACCAAGAGCAAGGCAAAACGTGTGGCTGTTTTTAGCCAAATCATCTATCACAGTTTTAGCCTTAGCCACTGACTAATAATCATGGAAAATCATGTGAGTTTTTGGTAGAGTTTAAAAATCTACTACAGGCTGTTGCAAGTGAATAGAAATTTCCCACCCTGGTTACATCATGCATTATTGAGTCTGAGGACAAGTAGAGGGAACCGATCAACAGCTTGCTCAGGAGTGTTATTGCACATCTCAACATCAACATGTTCTGCAGTGAGGGCAAATCTACAGATCATCCCACTTCCTGACAAATGGACCATGCTGTGAACACTAGCAGTGTTGATGCATCAGGCTGTCTCAGGTTGACGGAGTTCGAACTGGAGCGGGGTTCAGGGGGGCAGATGGAGGCACCACATGGAAGCCATGCATTCAAAAAGAGCAGAGGGAGGGGGCAACAACAGCCCACAGATGGAAAGGTGAGGGGCGTGTAGGATGAGGAAAGCACAGGGAGGGGGGGGCTGTAATGTGTTGAAATCCTGCACTGTGCTGCCAAATCCAAAACAACTGATCACAGCACAAAATGTGCCAACAGAGCTGAGCATACCACACGCAAAAAGACTGGCCATGGTCAAAACTGCAGATAGTACTGTGGAGTGCATCATGGATTAGAGACAAGAGGAATCTGTGCTTTTAGCTTAAATAACTCCTCCTACTACTGAAATCACTAACCAATCAGTGGTCCTAAATATCGCTGAGCTGAGAAGTGTTGGGATTCTGCAGCCATCTGTTGTGAACCACAGGTGATGTAGGTTAGAGCCAACACTGAGCTCATATACAGTAGTTCTGCTAATTGCTGAAGCAAACTGCAGCCTCCACTGCATAGAGAAGTGAAATGATTATGTGATGTGCAATAATAAAAACTTTCATTTGAAGCTTGAAACATTAATTTAACACCAATAAAACATCGCCCTATATATACACACAGCTCAAAGTATCCACTGTTCAAAAAGCTTTGCTAGAAAATCCTAAATGATATGATCTGTATTATGAATAGTGTTATGTAAAAGCTTTGTCTGGACTGTGTATCAGCCTGGTGTCATGTTATCGCTGTCTAAAACTTTAGACAAGTTACCCAACTGTCTGTCTATACTAGGAATTTTCCGTACCGGTAACTATAACACTATTAGCAAACAAAGGGTAGGTTGTAATAAAAATCATGCATGTTTTGAGCATTTGCAAGTCTTTTCAGTTAACAGCTACACTTCTTATCTATAATCAATAACACTGCATATTTAATCCCAGAGAATATTATATAAAACACACAGATTATAAACAGTGTAATTGGTTAGATGAGGACTCTACAACAGGAAGCACAATCCATTATTTCAGTTAATGCTCATGCCCTTAAAGTTGCACTTTTAAAGTCTTGAATAGAAAAAAAAGATATTTAAAAAAAAATTCTTAACAAATGCTCACAAAATAAAAAAAATAATTTCTTTTTCCAAGGTAGTCTACTACATGAAAGTAAAAACCCTGAGACACAGGTGGCATGTTGTCTAATCCTGAACTAAACTCTGGCTTTAACTCTGAGATTAGTTAACTGAAAAGACATTTGCAAACACTTCTCCGTGCAAAATGACAAGACTGCAGACTGAGTTGAACTGAGCGGGCATTAAAGATTGGTACAAACCTTTATTGCAATTTTGACTCTTTTAATCTTTTTGACCTTTTCAACTGTCTTTTTGCCGTTAACAAAGTGTAAAAAAAAAAAACAAAGAAAAAAAAAGCAGATTAGGATAAACAAAACAAACAAAAAGGCGTTAGAGTTTGACAGCTGACAAGATCACTGAATTCATAACAGGCAGGTTATTTAGCAAAACAGTGCAGAGAAATGATTGAAAAAGACAGATAGGCGGATAAAGTTACACTAAAATAAATGAAAAACCTTTCAACAGAGCATATCTGCATGCAGTCAAAGAGGCAAAGGAAGGTGTGTCAGGTGCAGTAGTGTCACTTACCGGATTTAAAGTGTTACACTGATCTATAGGATTCTTGTAATCAGTCTTCAGCTCATCAAATGCTATTATCTGGAGGGACAAGACAGTCACAATGTAACAATGAACAGAGAGCAGCTCGGTATATAAGGACATTTTATGAACAAAAATACAATGCAATTAGGCATTGGACGGCTTTGAATTTGGTCAGTAAGATAGAAGACTTACAGTATTCTGTATGTGTTATTTCCCTCAATAGCAATATAACAAATGTTTTGTAAATGTTCAATAAATGTTTGATTTAATTCAATTTCACAAACAAATTAGCACCTAATTGTTCTATTAAGATATTTATTTTGTTGAGAAAAATTATCCATATTGAATGATATAATTTTTTATGGTGCAGCCCTATTTGAAACTTTCTTTAAATGTACAGTAACTTTATGTGCAATATTTCAAACAAGCAACACTTTTCCAGTATAATACTCCCTTTCAGGGGACTTTTCATAGTCGATTGAGCTGTCTTTTTTCTATTGAATCATTTCTTCAACAAAATCTCAGAAATATGAACAATAATAAGGATTATGTTTCCAGAGTTTAATATGTCTTCAAATTGTATGTTTTTACAGCAGCCAAACATCCACCTGTTTACAAAATGACATTAAACAGAAAAGAAGCAAATTCTTCCATTTGGGAAGCTGAAACCTTAAAAGAATGATTTTAATACAACTAAAAAAAAAAGCAACTGAATTGTTAGATAATTTCTGAATTGACACATCGATCAATCAGCTAACGTTTCAGCATCACTGTCAAAGCAATTTTGTAGTAACGTTACATTTTGTCCAAGTTTCCTGTTGTTCAACCTGAAACTTTTACATTAAAACAACGTAATGACATGACATTTAAGTGTATGTTCAGTTTTATTCCATGTCATTTTTATTTGCATTGATAAAGTCTCGTTAACTTTAACTAATTGCATCTATGGGATAACCATGTGTAACATCAATGATCTAACTTTCTTTATCCCGGACACGTTATCTAAAGCTTACTGAAAAGTTTACAACATGCCCTGTTGACGTTTTGACAATAAAGCTAACGGTATTACATTGTTACACAACGACGCTCACAGAAACATGTGACCGTTTGTTGTTCCAGGAGTAAAACTTAGCTAAGCCTGCTAACTAACTAGCTGGCTAGCAAATAACGTTACCTCAACACTAATCATACGACAAGCCTGACTAAACGTTCGCTATAGTCAGAATACGGTTGTTAAAAGGTGAACCATGTCACGGTATTACGATAATACAACGTATGAACAAAAGTATGCTCGTCTTGGTGTTTTCACTGCCAGCTAACTTTAGCTTCAAGCTAACGGCAGGGTGTGTGCCATTCATTCTACAACGGACCCGTACTGCTGGCTTAGATAGGTTCTGGTCCAGACGCAGCCGAGACCCGATGTGAGTAACGTTACCGTACGTAAAACCCAAAAACTGTCCCGGTGTGAAGCTACAAAGCTGGCCTAGCGATAGCCCGGTTTTTGCCAGCCTTTCTTTCGTTCTTTCACCCACTTTTATCAGCGCTGCTGGTGTGGCAGGCCAGCAGTCTTACCTGAAGTTGTCTAAATGTGTTACTTACATGCCAGATAGCGAAGAAGATAAGCGCCGCCGTGAGCAGCAGAGCAAGCATGTAACAAAAGGCCGCGAATGTGAACGCCATTTTTTCTCCGGTTCTGCTTGTCGGTTCCTGGCTCGGTCAGCGGATGATGCAGGCAGCTTCGCAACCGATTTGAGATTTGGCAACGTGTCTTCTTCTTCAGTGCGCGTTCAGCTATCTGGGGGTCCTTATTGTGGCATTACTGCCATCTTCTGGAGATCTCCTTCAGTGTTTACAGTTACATGTACTGGCTTTTATCCAAAGCGACTTACATTTGAGGAACAACATATAGGCATCAATACAGTAAGAGATCTACAAGTGACAATAGATAGAAGACAAACAAGCAAGCAACACTTTCCCAGTCCTTTCACAGGAGTTTTTTTTATAGTTCACTGAGCTGTCTTTTTTCTATTGAAACATTTCATCTAAAAAATATGCAAGTATTAATAATAACAATGTCCATTATATGTTTCCAGAGCTAAATATGTCTTCAAAATTGTATGTTTTGTCTGAAAAACAGTCCAGAATCCAACAAAACAGAATGCAGACAGTTCTCACATTTGAGACGCTGAAACCAAAGAATGCTTATGGCATATTTAACAAAAATCTAAATAGTTTAATAAATTCTGAATTGACTTATCGATTAATCAGCTAAATGTTTCAGCATCACTGTCAGAGCGATGTTGTAGTACAACATTTCCTGCTGTTTATCCCTGACATCCAAGTGTATGTTCAGTTTTATTCCATTTCGTCATTTTTATTATTCCGAATGAGCCATTGGTAAAGTCTAGCTTACTTTTTTAAATCAACTAATTGTGCCATGGGCTAACAATGTGTAACGTTAAAGCTTACTGAAAAGTTAACATGCTCTGTTAATGTTGACATTTTGACAGTAAAACTAAAAGGTTACACAACAAAGCTCACGGAAACAGGTGGCAGTTTGTTGTTCCAAGCAGCAATAAATTCTAGTAAGAGCTATTAGTGTGCACAGCATCAAGTGTTTCCGTTCTACTTACCTTAAATTCGTTATACTTTCAATAATTATTTTTCTTGTTATTATGGAATTTACTTTTCATTGTGAAGCTGTGTTTTGAAATAATACAAAAACATTATATAGTTTAACATACAAATTAAAAGCAGACTGTAAAGCTAAGCAAACTTTGTTACTGTCCATATATATGTGTACATGCATTAGCCACACAAATTTTACTTTATATATATATATATATTTATTTATTCTGAAGAGATGCCATTGCTGTACTAGTGTTCAGTCTCTGAAGCATTCCACAGTTTTGATCCATGCTCTACTAAATATGATAAACACATCTGTAGAAACCAGAGGGGTAAACACCACTGTCATTTTATTTGGACAATAGGACAACAGACACTTTATAAAGTATGGGAAAATACAAATATCTCAAGTTTCACTGATGCCATGAGGCAGCTGGTTATGGTACATGTCTCAGGTGTGTTTTTATTAAAAATGAAACAAAACAGAATAGTAGGCATTTGATCAGAGATGACACCAAGAGCTGAACAACACATTTGCAAGTTAAAAGACTCAGGAGGCCAAATGTACAACAGGTTCACCACATAGATCCACAGACATAGTCAGATACATGGCTAAATATCAGTATAACGGGGAGATTGATTAGGGTACATGATCAATGGACAGCCTATTACAACCCATGTCCATAGCAGAGTTTTTCTTCAAAGTACTGTCAGTAGTAAGAACATTGCTGAGACCAGATGTATGAGAAGCCAGTATTGTCCCTTTTTTTGAAGCAGTCTAATCAAATTAACTTAATCATGTAAAATGTTCTGAAAAGAGTGCATGTGACAGAGCAGCACATTTTTGAATGTCATTAGGAAATTTCTGTCAGGTTTATGAAAACTGTTCAGACATACATTAAAGCATGCACTTGTTTTACAGTAGCTCTCCACATTTTACAGGTTTCAAAAGATATCAGCTAAATATATTCCCAACAAAAACACATGACATTGCACATGTTTTTAAAATCAAAGTCTGTTTCAGAGTGAAACAAACCATGTCTTTGATTTCAGATTGACTACATTTGCTTTGCTAAATTTACCTTGAGTTTTGTAGGTCATAGGGTGATAAAACTTCCTTTACCAATAAAGGACAGCGCACAACTTCAGCTCAAGTAAAAAGAAAACAGAAACCATTATAAACATGAGAATCACCTATGTTAGTTACGTTTCTCTGCAACAGCAGCGTAATACTGTCTAATATCAAGCTGACAGTGTAAATCTTAGCTTCGAACAGCAAAACAAGTGATTACAGTTATGCCCCATTGTTCCTGTTGGATTAAACCCTGTCCTGACATGTGGAATCATAAAATGATTAATGTCTGACATCAATAAATCATTTACATGAAATGGTGTGATTGTGCGTACATTTCTTTGAGTCAGGCCTCTAGAAAATAAAAACTGCTTTTGTTATATATTATAACCAAGATTATACTTAAATAGAAAAAAAAAATGAGGTCTCATGGACTTCAGATCATAAAGTTAAAAAGAAAATAGTGTCTTAAAAAACATAATTCTCCAACAAAGCGTATCCATTCACTTTCTATTTTTCCCCTCACAAAACATATTTGTGTTATATTTCATTTTGGCCTCATGATAAAAAAACAAAAACTAAACAGATGTAAATACAACAACAACAAAAAATTAAGACAAGTCATTGGTATGGTAGACTTAGCAGTATGACATCATACATAAGGTGGTCATTTCTTGCCTTGGGGCTTTAAATCAACCACAACCCTCCAATATTGGTTTCTAAAGTAGGATTTTCTCGATAAGAAATGACACTGACAAGTAAAAATGCAGAATTCATTTGTGCCTATTATTCTTTATTAGGGCCAGACCAATACACAGAGCTGATATTAAGCTTTAAGAATAAGAAATCCACTACTGATATAATGGAGGTTTCTCACTCACCACTCACATAAAACCAATCTGTAGCACCTGCAGTACATTTTTTGTAGCTGGTTTAAATGCTATTTTAGATGACCTTCAGCAGAAAACAAGGACAAACTGCCACTTTTGGGCAGGAAAAATAGCCAAATACATACAACAGAGTCCATAAATGTCCAGAAAGTGACATTTTATGTTGTTTTAACTCTGTATGGCGGCACATTGGAATTAAAGTGTGCTAAAAGCTAAAATCACTCACTTTACCTCAATATGTGTTTCATTTCAGATCCAGCATGATAGAATACAGATCAACAGTGTAACTGTAAAAATACTTGTACTGTCAATATTAAGATAGATACTGGCATGAAATATGAGCTGCTGGGACACAAATATCATTATCAGCCTTCAAGCTATATTGGTCCAACCCTGTTCTGTATGGAAAATGTAAATTACTCAGACACTGTCCTTTACCAACCAAGTCTAAATATTAAGCACAACTGGCATTTGGAGAAGTCACAGCCATCATTCTCAAGGCTGTGACTACCACTAAGCAAACAAAGTGGCTTTACATCAGAATGAAGCACAACATTCATAAACACTAATAACAGCAATAGCTATAATGCACGATATTAGCTAACAATCTCCTTAAAAACACAGTGACCCACTTACACAGAGTAGCCCAGTAGATTAAAAAAAGGGCAGGTAATGCCCCCGCTGTGTGCATTGTTTTCAAGACTGTCATGGTCGCCAGAGACGGAGGTTTGTTGCAAGTAATGAATTGTTGAGTATGGAATGTTTCAGAGTGGAAATACTGTTTTCAGGAGTGTGATATTGTTGTAACACATATGCAGGTCAAAGGCAGAAATACAGCTTTACCAGTGAGTCACACTGTTTTTTCTCTAAACAGAGACGAAAAGATGTGATCTGACGATGGACTGAAGGGCAAATCTGCAGCGTGATAAGTACCACCCGAGGGCTTCTGCTAGCTTGTCCACATAGGAACGTACAACACAGATATAAGTCCTAAGTGCCACTTGTCAAATAGCCTTAGTGTTTTTGTTATTTACAGTTTGTTACCTAAATTATAAATTTAAGTGACCTTAAATTAAAAGTATAGGAGAGACTGACTGAAACTGACCTATATATTATTCTCTGAATTGTAGCTATGACTGTTCAGATGTGTTTTCACAACAAAAGCTAATTACTGCTCTAAAGTATATGCTGCTTACATAACCCTACATACACCAGAAAAACACAAAAAACAAATCTAAAAGTAAGAATCCCTCAAATTATTAAAAAAACATTAAAAAAGGTGAAACTCAGGAGGTTCAGAGTTACAAAAAAAACAAAATGCTGAGAGTAAAACTATTTAAGGAAACCATTGTTACAACACCTTTAAATTCTCCTGACTGAACATGCTTAGGAATGGCAGATGAGTACTATCAATTTCTGTCCTCTTTAAGAGCTATGGTAGTGTTAATTCAATACAGACACATAACTGGCACATGGAGAGATTGTATAGGACACAAACAGAGACCTGCGTCAAATAGTATTTTCAGTTTTAGGCTGGGTGAGGTTAAATTAGTGCCACATGTATCGACAGTCACAGAAAAGTATACAAACTCCTGTGACTGTCTGAACCTTCTGGCACACTGGATTGTAATATGCCCTAAACTCTACCAAAGAGGCCTAAAACTAAGTACAGAAACACTACTTAAATCAGGTCTGGCACAAAGAGGAGGGAAACATTAACTGTGACGTGTTTTCCCGAAGAGATGACGCAAGTTGTGCAATCTGGATCCTCCTCACATACCAGACGACTGGATGAGACGACTTTAGCCGAAGAACCCAAGTTTCTCTCTAAGCCATTCCTCCGTTAGGTCCTCTGTGTTTCTGATCTCAAACACCTGGTAAAAAAAGAAAAAAGGAGCAACAAAAGAGCCGGATTCAGAATTTTCTTTTCACACATTATAAAGGAAAAGTCTTAGGATGCAGTTAAGTGCAAAGCATTGTACCAGCTAATAATGCAATAGATGTTTGATAATGTAATAAAATAGCCAGATAAATGCGTGAAAATCAGATGAATTAAATAACATCACTACATTAACTGCCACAATTAAATATAAAGACTAACAGTCTACAGCCGTTGTAGCTTATCTATCTGTAAGGCTATACTGAGCTAAATGCTAACGTGCACAATGACGATCCTAATGCTGTTGACCATCTTAGTTTAGCCTTTTAACATGACAACATATTCTAATTAGTACAGCGTAATGGGAACGTTATTAGTTTTGCAGCTAACTGCTGACAGACAAAAGTACTGGACAAATAAAAATTTTGACCTGAGGATGGTGCAAGATGAACAGTTAAGTTGACATCAAAGTGATAATAATTTATCCTGAGAGGAAAACGAATGTCTGTACCAGATGTCAACTTTATTTTTCTACTTTATTATCTCTTTTGCATCAATGTCAGATGCAACTCACAGATGGCTCACTAACCTTGGACAGTTGCACGGTATGCACCAGTTTGTTTTTGCTTCCTGCGTACATCATCTGCTGCTCTGGTCTGCAACCTGCCGAACACAAATACGCCAAAATGAACAAAAATGTCCTTGATGATAGAACGGCGCAGGGAACGATTTGCGGCATTCATTCAAAAGTAACTCCGGAGGTGTTCTTACCCACTGGACTGGAGAAAATGAAGCAGAGAGGATAGGACACACGTCCATCATCATGTTGGTATTTATAACTGTAGACGATAAATGTTCCCGGTGCTAAGGACAGTTCACAGATTACACTCATTGTAATAAAGCATGGTTGAGACAGAAAGCATACGAAACTAAAACAGGATTTTACTTTCTAATACCTTTAACAAAAGTTAACGCATATATATTTAAAATAAAATGATCTTTTTCAAGGGAAAAAACTTATAATTTAAAAACACAGGCCATGTTTCAGGCATATATTCAGAATATATTATAACACCTAATCGTAAACTACAGTAACGTTAGACTGATGATATCCAACAGTTTAAATACTGTTAAAATAAGACAGGTCACTTATTCAAAAGGATATCTCGGCTGTCTCTCAGGCAGTTCATCCTTTAGATCATCAGGAGAAATGTCCTAATAAAAAAAAGACAGATAATGAACAGTTCAGTGAGGTGTTCCGTCTCTGTTGAAGTACTGTCTTAAGTTGCACTTCATCTTAAAGCAATTATCCACTAAAATTAAAACAGCTGTAAGGCCAAAAACAAGTTTAACCACACAGAGTTCAACACAATCATCATCACTTCTATGTGTAAATTTAATTTCTAAAGAATCCTGGGTTGTACCTTTAATTTCAAGTTTAAAATGTGAAAAGTTGAATATGACCTTGTTCTGTATATAGTGCAGACACAAGAATGGAGCACATCATATTATAATGAAGCTAACTTACCTCGTGTTCCTCTTCAAGAATCACAAGCTGCTTGTCTTTGTCGATCTTCACTGAGGGGTTAAAAAAAGAAAGAAAAAAAGGAAACCATTAAGTCAACAGCTGTATGATAAAACCATCATATTAGTTTAATAGTGGTAGTAGAAGCAGCAGTATGTTCAAAAGTAACATATCAAAAGAGTTTTGTATTAAAAAAAACAATACATTTTTGCTCATATTTCCTTTTAATAATGTGTGTGTGTGTGTGTGTGTGTGTGTGTGTGTGTGTGTGTGTGTGTGTGTGTGTGTGTGTGTGTGTGTGTGTGTGTGTGTGTGTGTGTGTGTGTGTGTGTGTGTGTGTGTGTGTGTGTGCTTTTGACTCCATGCCACGCAAACACAATCCTGATCCAGAAACTGGTGCAACACTAAACTGCCACCACCTGCTGCGTTTGGAGGTAAGCTCTGTTCTCCAGATATATAGCTGTAGCTGGCTTACATTTCCCAGTCTAATATCATGTAACTTCTTCTGTTTTTAATTTCATTTTCATTGAGCCTCCCCCTGGACTTCAAACTGCAAGAACACGGCAGAGTTGATTAGAGAAAATTTGAGGAAAGAAATAAAGTTCATTAATTTGGATTTTAAGAGTTTAAAGAGGCAGTGTGTCCACCATATGCATGGTTATCTCCAGTAACGTGTTGTTTTAAATGTAATTTATTTTACTAATTAATGAAATAAAAAACATTACATTGGGTTATGTTGTAGATTTCAGAACGTGACGTGTTGTTTCATGGCTACAGTATAACAAGATATATATTTACTAGTCAGTAATTGTTTTAGATTACAGCTGCTGTAATTTAAAATGATATATAAGTCTTGAGAGCACAAGTACTGGCTGATGCCCAACATCTCAAAATGCCAGATATTTGCCCAGTTAATTGGTCTATCACTAGCAGGAAGCATTGTCAGCGTTAATGTCACATTCACCAATTCTGCAAACCGCCAAGGACAACAACAATAATTCACATTTGGATTCAAGATTTTAAAGAGGCAGTGTGTCCGTCTCCATTTTGTTCCACACAGCAGGAAGCAGTGTCAGCATTAATGGTAAATCCAACACCCAAATACTGACTTATGGTTTCCATTTTACTAAAGTAAGCTTGTTTTTGGAAGGTGACCCAATTCTGAAAACTACCAAGGACAACAAGAATAATTCACTTGGTAACACAAAAATAAATACCAACAACAATGGCACACAGAATGATGAATTAATACTTCTACTTAGATTCCACTTGCACTTTGGACTCCTGACACCATCTACCCTATCATTGTTTGACCTGGAGCACATCATCAAAAAACACGTAAGAGAAGAAAGTGAATGCCATAAAATGTGTTGCCGATACTCACTAATGATGGCTGCGTTGTTGGTCTCCTTCCGGAAACGGAACTGCTTCAGCTTTTTAACCAGATCTTCATCCACATCACACACCACCAGTGATTCACTCTGATAATAACAGGAGAAACAAGCAAACACATAGATGTGGTCACTTAAATGACTTAAAGTTATAAACATGTTTTTGAAAGTATTGACACTGTACACAGATTAAACCACACGATTCTTGTGTATTATTTTGCACTTAAAGTATTAAAAGTAAAAGTACTTAATGCAAAAAATGTCCACTGTGCCTGTTATACTAGTATATAATATATCATGAGATTATTATTACTCATTCATTCATGTAAAAGCAGGATTTACTGTCAAAGTTGGTTGAGGTGGAGCTTGTTTTTAACTATTTTGTATTGGATTGCAACTAATGATTACTTTCATTATGAATTTATCTGCTGATTATTTTCTGCATTATTGAAATGACTGGGTTTTTTTTATTCTATAAATTGTGAGAAATGCCGTCACAATTACCCAGAGCCCAAAGTGACACCTTCACAATGTTTGTTTTGTCTGACCAGCAGTCCAAACCTCAACATTATTAACACTAAATTCAATTAAAAGCAGAAAATCTTCACATTTGTGAAACTGAAACCATGAAACGTTTTTGCATTAAAAATTACTTAAAACTATCAAAATAGTTCCAAATTAATTTTCTATCAACTGACTACTCGTTTCAGCTGTACTTATTTTGTTGGGTAGTTTCATTCATCATCATTAAACTACTAAAGCTGTGAGATAAATGTAGTGGAGTAAAAAGTACAATATTTCGTGGTGTAGTGGAATAGAAGTAGAAAGTGACATGAGAAGAAATTACTCAAGTACATCTACCTAAAATTTGTACTTAAGTACAGTACTTGAGTAAATGTACTTAGTTACTGTCAAACAAAAAAAACAAACCAAAGACACCACACACAGATCGTTCACCTGGACTATACCAATGTATCTGATTTATAGATAATATGTTTGTAATATTCTGTATAACACGTTTGTTCCTCTGAATTTTAACTTAGTAGTCGTACTGCATCAGAAAATGTATCCTCACATCCATTAACTTCCTTTTTTCCTGGCAGCCTCCATCCTTTAAAATCAGCTATGTGGTGTGCTCCAATATGAGAGAAAATAGTACTATGACGCCTTTGTTCCTCATGGCACAACATTTATAGTGCCTGTTATATGATCATTCAAATCCGGGATTTTTTCCCGTCCAACTATTTCTCACACACGCATACACACTTCCATAACTTTTGCATAATCCAATGAAAAAAAAGATGTGACAAACTCCAGCAGAGATCCTCAATTCTGTTTCTCTGTGGAAAAACACGCAGAATAATGTTTGTCCTCCTCACACATTCAGATGTATTCATTTTTACATGGCGTCTCTTACACAATGCAGATAAGTGTACCTGATTTACTGTCATCCATGTTAAATGTACAGATTCATGTTTACTGAGAAAGAAACTTGAGAATATAAAGTGAAAAGCAGTGCCTTTTATAACTATGTATATTTAATATATGTATTTCTGGCAGATCTTTATGAACTGGGAAAATAATGTGTTTAACTTGGCCCCATGTTTGTAGGGATATTTGCAGAGGGTTTATTTGTATGGCAGACAGCTGCAGAGCCACAGACTGTAGATTAAAGTTGTTTTCAAGCATTTTATTGCTTAGCTGTTTGTGTGTTAGTATCCAAGCCAGTGTTAGAGAACTGTCTTTATGCAGGAGTCCTATCTGACCCACAGACTTTATTCAGAAAAGAATAATACATAGATTTTACTGTGCTGAGCCTCATGCCCACACACACACACACACACACAACTCCACCACAAAGACATAAACTCTTAAGAGTCTCTGAATTCTATAATTACACCTTCCTGAACAGATGGCTAGTGGGAGTCAGGATTTCACTGAGCTCAGAGAGAGAGATCTTTACAGATTAAAAAGAGACTGGAGTGTCTGGAGTGGAGAGAGTTGAAAACCAGGATGCATAGGAAAAACGATGGGAAACTGGCATGACAATACAAGCCGGAGGCGGCCACAGGTTTAAAGTTAAAGCTGGTTTAAATTCCTCCAGCCACTGACAGCTAGCTCGTCAGCTCGGCTGCTAATTCAGCCAGGAAATGAGAGTCAGCTAACTTAAGGTATCCAGTTCATTTGATGCATCTCATCGTGTAAAAATGAGGCAGTAACTCAGGCCAAATGTTTATCGACCCTGAAGACAGTCAAGCTGCCATGACACACAATCAACCCCCCCTGAGGGAAACATTCTTCATCGTGATAAGCAAACGAGCTAAAGGTAGCTCCCCAAACCCAGACGCGTCGAAACCGGTTGAAACACATCACTGCGACATCACACTAACCACCACACAGCTATGACAGGAAGTCCGATAGGCTGCTCTTCAAAATAAAAGCATACAGTACATCTGGAAACGTTCATGAAGTGGAGCAAGATTCTTATTAAGAGCTGAAATGATTCAAAAGGAAAATAATTAGCAAACATTTTCATTATTGGTTTATCGTTTCTGTTATTTTTTTCAAGCAACAGTCTGTGTTGTTTAAGAGTCTGCTGTAAGAGCATCCCAATTTGGGTTTTGGGAATCAGACAACATCACCAGTTTTAAGACTAGACTTAAAATTTTACTGTTTGATAAAGCTAGGGCATGATTGAGCAAACTTACAGTTTAATTCCTTTTAAATATTTAATTTTGTTGATTTTATTCTGATTGTATTTTATCTTGTGTTTCATCATGTGCCTTGGCTCAGTTTTCACAACAGGGTCAAAAGCCAAACTGACTTATTAAATGATTACATTTAAAAACAATATAATGTTCATACATAGCCTACATAATGCAAAACACTCAATTATAAATCCTCAGAATTCCCATAAATTTCAGTCCTTATTATGAAACATACAGATCACCAAAATCAAATAAACATGTGCTGCATTTCTCCTAATATTTAGTGTTTTAAATAAAATGCAAACATTGTGGTCGATACAGAACAGAAAAAGTAAGTCACAATCATCACTTTGCTTTGTATGAATATAGAATTTACTGCAGTGTAAAGTCATACTCTTTACTTTTACCTACTGATAGTAATACAGCATGTTCAATAAATACAATTGAAGCTGTCAAAAGTCATTCTAACTCCACATGTAAAAGGTAAATAATTTTGAGGAAATTACTATTTCATACTCTGTTTTGATGAAAATTAGCTACTGTTTTGTTTTAAAAATGCATTGATTAACACATATAATGCTGTGATGCTCTGGTAAACCTCTCTGGGAGATATTATCTGATTTATTATTGATGTTTCCATTTATAGCAAACTGAAACTCTGAGCCAAAGCAATTCAACAACAAGCTACTATCATTTTTAATTTTCACCTCATCAACGTTTCTTTGCCAGCAGTAATTTTATTCTGAAATCCATAACCGGAAATTCAACATGACTATTCTCGCTGGCTTGACACTGTGGACAAGGGTGGAACTAATGCTAGGCTAGCAGGCTAACGCTAGCCAATCTGCGACCTTACTTTTCCCCAATAGTCCCCGGAAGTTCACATTTGTTAAGACCTCGGGGTTAAAAAAAAAAGCAGAAGAGTCACTGGCCACAGCTTTCTCACAATAACACTGAGCAACTTACCATTTTTGTAGAGTTAAAAACCCCTGAAGCTGCTGCTGCTGCTCTGAATGATAGAGACGCTTTCAATGTTTTTTTTTCACTTCACATCATCTTGTGACTGGTTTGACCAATCCCAAACAAGCGCCCCCTCCCTTAAAAGTTGCTCATGAATCTCTGTTGTCCTGCAGCTTTAGTATTTCATTCAAGTAAAGAGTGTTGCGAAAAGCCTTGTTGAACTGCTCGAGCCACTAGAAAACAAAAATGAGAATGAAGATTTTTTTAAATTTATTTTGCATTTCGAGACTAACGTTAACAAGATGAGAATAAATAAACCCTTTTTATTTAATTCTCAAAATGGTACTTCAACTTTATTGGCGTCAATTCAACTTTATTCTCATCATTTTGTCTTTATTCACATCATGTTGACTTTATTCTCGAAATGCAAAATAATCTTCACTCTCAATTTATTTTCCTTAATGTGGCCCTAATACTCTTTCGTATGCATCTGTTTAACATTTAGTTCATTAAATTATGTTAAGTTACCAGTTAGGCTGCTAACAAGTTACTTTGCAGATTAAACTGCTACCCAACTTGCAACCCAACAAAATGAAGTTCGCCTAGATAAATTACAACAGTAAACAAATTTACCAATCCAGTTATATAATATATAACAATATAACACTAGCAGGACACATTTTTTCAACATAAAGAGTACTTTTGCTTTTGATACTTTAAGCACGTTCAGGTGATAGTACTTTTATTTAAGTTAGATTTTGAATGCAGGATTGCAACTTGTTATGAGTTATTTCTACATTCTATATAATACTACTATCAAGCAACGTTGGGTGTAAAGAGCAATTATTTAGAAAGAACTTTGATTTATTTATTAACATTTTTGTCACAGTCTAGTAAATGATCTGAATACTTCCACCGAATATTAGAACTCAACACGCCAGACTACAAAACAATACCTAATAAAACTTATTTTGCTCGCTATGACATCTACCTGCTTAATCTCTCAATTCAAGAACAAAACAGACCAAATAAGGCTCAGCAGCTGTCCATGTGTATCTACAGCATCATACAAAACATCTTTAATTTCCATCTGCTTTTTTGTAGATCTACAATTGGAAAATAATAATAAATATACTATATTTTATTTATAAGCAAATTCCAAGTCACCCCAGGGACACTTTACAAATATGATATAGCCTATGAATATGAAATTAATATGATAACAATAATAGTAATTACAGAGAACAACAATAGCAATTACATATAAGCCTATATACAGATAAAATCATTTATTTATTACATACATATTACAAAGCACTAGGAAAGACTCATCTAAACCATAGACTGTATATCTAAACAGGACAGTTTTCAGTTGTGACTTAAATAAGGGCATTTACAGTAATCTAATCTGGATGTAATAAAGGCCTGAACGAGAATCTCTGCAGTCTGCGTGAGTGGGAAAGGGGCATAGTCTGGAAATGTTCTTCAGGTGAAAAAAAGGCTTTTATATGTGTGTCAAACCATAGGTCAAAGCAAAAAAGGTGGATTTTAAAGTTATATCAAGTTTTTTTTTTTTTACCTCAGCAACAGGTTTGGACAAATTTAAATGGGAGACTTTGAAAAAAATGTGGCTGGGGAGGCAAAACAGATAAAGCCTTAGATTTATGCTAATGAAGTTTAAGTTGAATTGCAGGTCATCAAAACATTAAAATCATTTCAGCAGTGTGCCAGGTTGGATGGTGGCAGACTGGTGGAATAATCAACAGGGAAAAGCAGGGAATTGCCCTCAGACCACCAGGGGCACTAAAAGCATGGCTTCACTGTTTGTTTGGTAATATGAGCCCTTAAAACACACTGAAAACCTAAATGGTAACTTTAAGCTGGCTCCTCCATTTTAACCTAATCTGTCATTTTGTCTCTCTGACTTCACTGTTGGGGAGTAACAGGTTACATAATTTAGTTACGTAATTTAATGATTAATGATATTGCCTCCCAAGATGTCTTTTGAAAATGGTTAACAGATGAAAACATCTAGAAATTTAGACAAATAATCAATGTAATTAAATGTTACATTACTTTGATAAAGTAATTAACATAGCTACACTATTACATTTTAAATAGGGTAACTTGTAATAATCGTGACCTATTATATTTCCAAAGAAACCTTCACTCCCCCCCCCCCCCCCCCCATGTACAGATGAATCAGTAATTTCTGTGCGTAAAATAGTTTTTGACACCTGCTGCGCTCTGTATTATACCTGTTTTGTATTGTAATAAAGTTTAGGTTAGCTGTGTTTGAAGGGAAATATGTTAGTTTCACTTTATGACCTATAAAACATTGTTGTCACAGGATCGTCACGCTCTCATTTTCTTTTACATAACTTCATGTTTGTGTGCGCGCGCGTGCGTGCAGCGAAACGCGCCCTTCCTTAAAGAATACGTCATCACTGAAGCGCGTGTGTGCGCTCTTCCTCTCCGAGAGTTGTAGTTGTGAGAGCAGGTCCAACGTTAGCTTGTAGTTCTTTGCCCCGGGAGGCTAAATTTGCTGGCTAACTGGCTTTCACAGCTTGATAAAAAATCATCTCTGTTACCCGCTATCGTTTGAGAGGAGTCCACCGTCTGGAGAGGTAGCATGAAATATCAGTTTTTCACTGTTTAACTTGTGTTGACACCGTGAAGATGAGATAAAGAAGCGAGCTAACACGAAGAGCTAATCTGAACGTTAGTTAACTATCAGTTAGCTTCTGTTAGCTAGGTCGTTAGCCAACTGTGTAACATCAGTTAACTACATATTTTACTAACGATATCCCCTTTAATATGCAGCTAAAGTCGGTATAGCTCGTTGTAATCATATTTCAGTTTGGTCAAGCTATTTCGACTCTGCCCAAATGGATTTTGTTGATCACCAGTCGGTGATGGAAACATTTACTCTGCTGTTACTCAGAGCCTGTGTGACATTCCTTCTAGTGTTTGACAGCTTGTTATAATTGGATGTTATGACTTCCTTATAAAACTAATGAAAGTTGTGTCTTTTGTTTTAGATCATGTCAGATTTCTCGGTGAGTTCAAAGGATTGCTCAGTTTTTACATCATTTTATGATTTACTGGTAGCTGGTGGTTAAACAGATATTTTTTTGTAGACAGAGTCACTTTACCTTTCTGTTCTACTTCAGCTGGAAGATGCCTTAGGAGACAGCACCCCAAGCCAGGCGAAGAAATCAGCGAACCCTAACCCATCTGCCCCTGCCGCCAACCCTCCACCTTCTTCAAACCCAGGATGGCCTGGCTCAGCCCCAGGAGCTCCCACCCAGCCCTCCGCTCCGGTTGACTTTGCCGGCGGATCATCTGGCCCAGGGGCGCCGGGGCATTTCCCATTTTCCTCTGGTCCTGGAGCACCAGGGCAATATCCAGGACCTCCTTCAGCGCCTGGTGGGTTCCCGCATGGTCAAGGGATACCTGGACAATATCCACCTGCACCAGGAGCTCCAGGGCAGTTTCCCTCCAGCCCTGGAGCCCCTGGTCAGTTCCCTGGCCAGTTCCCTGGCCAGTTTCCCGGGCAGTTCCCTGGCCAGTTCCCTGGGCAGTACCCACCTGAAGGAGCTCCAGGACAGCTACCTGGAGGCCCTGTTCCTTACCCAACTGGACCATTTCCTTCTGGCCCTGGAGCTCCCTCTGGGCCTTATCCAAATGTGCCTTTCCCAGGAAGTCAGCCAGGAGGAGGCAATGGGATGTACGGACCCGGTGGTCCAGGTGCATTCCCCCCTCCAGCTGGCCCTGGCTCATTCCCTGCCTTCCCTGCTGGAGGCTTTCCCCCAATCCCTCCTGGATCATGGGGATCACCTGCAGGTGGAGGCTTCCCTTCTGCCCCAAGCCCCTTTGGTCCTGGCCCGGGGTCTATGGGTTCATATGGTGGGCCTGCAGCTCCAGGAGGCATGCTGGTGAGTACAAGCATTTGTAATGAACTCAAAACATTAGGTTGCTTGCTTGCTGCATTTCTTTTATGTTTTTGCTCTGGTGTGCTGTGGAGTTGTGGAAGTCTTTGGGATTCAGTGTGGGAAATTACAACCAGCACCCAGCTAAATGTACATCTACTCTGCCAACCACTTTAGCCGGTCACTATATAGATATTCAGTTCTACTCTAATACAGGATATTTTCTAAAACATGCAATATGACTGATTTGTTGTTACTTGGTACTGCTGCTGTTGGAGTTTGTTTCCTGCCTTGTTGGGATTTACTGCAGGATGGCTGCGTTTGGATTCTTTTTTCTGTATCTTGGGCTCTGCTGGGTTGCAAAACAAAACATAAAGATGAATCGATAAATCTTCAAACGTAGTTATAAAAAATCTATTCTTGTCTTTCAGCCCAGATATAATCCACCATATAATTGAAAGCAATGAACTCAGCTTTTCAGTCGGACAAGGACGTCACTTCCAGAATCAACATGGTTTGATTAGGCTCACAAGGAAATGTGCCAAAGACTGAATATATACACAGAAAATACACTTAGGGAGGGTTGTGCTGAATCTGCCTGTGGAATGTATTGTATTAATGAAGTGCAATATGATTTACAATTACACTTTTACTTTTACACTTGTTTTCTGTTTTAAGACACCTTTATATTCTATGACAAAATCACAGTTTGATTACAATTTGTGTACAGTGTTCATCACTTTTTTTCCACATTCACATGATTATAATTTAAAAAAAATGTTTTTCTGTCATTTTGCTCAGACGTCAGTTTGATGCCTTGTTGTAGTAAAAATGTTAAACTCCAGATTTTACTCTGTTTTACTTTTTCTTTTCATTGTCTTGACTAGTCATTGTGAATTGCGTAAGAGTGTGGATCTAAATGAAGGAGATGGTGACTCACTGGGGTGGTGCTTTAGGAATGTGGGCAGGGTCAAACTTCTATATAATGTTTAACTAAAAATCCCCTCTTTAATTTTTGATATTAAGCACTAAATATTACCATGTTCAGAGTATTAGTGATAAAATTTGTACAATTCTACTTCTAACCTGGGGGATTTTATAAACCGAATAAACACTGTTTCCATTTGTGTATTTTTGCTTAATAAACACAGTAAATCATAATTTGTCAT